TATATATATATGTTGGAATATATACTTGAATAATTTTGTAGTAGTAGATTCTAAATCCAAGAAATAATCGATGACTAAGTGCTAACAACACAACAAACGATCGAAAATTATAAGGTCCAAATACATAATCACAACAATAATAAAATTAAAATTAATCGAGTTAGTGAACTAATCCTCTAATGTGCATTGCATTCAGAGAGCATAATGTTAGCAACCATTGAATTTGCTATTTGATCATATTAACTTCCTTGTTATATATAAATTCAAATTGCTCCTTCAATGAGTTATATGAACTCATGATTACCTATTAAGAAAAGCGCTTGTAAATGCCAGATTGCCAATTCACGGCTCTCCTTTATCCTTTTAAGTAAACCCCAAATCCCCTTTTTATGAAAAATATAATTCAAAAGTTGCAGAGAACATCAAACAGTAGTATTAAAAGAGAAGCTTAAGCAACTAAAGTATATACTTCTCCATACGCAAATATGATTTTGTAAAGAAAAAAAAAAAAAGACAGCATGTTTCCTTTTTAAAAAGTTATTATAGTTGTTAAACCTAAACTTCAAGACAACTATTTGCTCACGATCGTTACAAACTTCCTAACTAGATCAGCACCAGAACAAACGACGTATTTGGGCTCAGATTCATAACGAAGAGACAAGAGAAAAAGATAAATATCTTTAAATATAAAACAATATCCCTATTCCCTTTGTGATTTACATTTACAAAAAAAATGAAAAAAATTACCATAAGAATTACCTGTTAATAGGATTGATTGATCGGAATAGTGTAAGTTGATCAATATATTAAAAGAACCAACTACTATGATTTCATTGAGGACTCGGGAGGTTCGGGTCCTAACCGAAGCTCAAGGTCCAGTTCTGAATCATCACTCAGTTGCATGCCTTTATTTCCTTCTTGCGTTTCCACACAATTGATTACTTCTTTTGATGGAAAATCCACAAACAAAGGCAATTGCAAAAGATCACCTCCAATAATCAACTCATGATTGTCAATATCTTTTGCTTTTGAAATAGGATAATCATGATTTCCATCTTTTGTTTTCGAAATATGATGTTGATGATGACGATGATGATCATCATGTTCTTCTTCGGGGGTAGCACATGGCCTTTTTGAGGGACTACTCGCGTCATCGCTAGATACTTTTTTTTGCACTGATTCATCATCATATGGCGCTACAGTATCAGGAGAAGGACTGACAGACTTCTTGATATCTAAAGTTTCGCTCGGAATTTCTCTAAGCTTGGCTCTATCTTTTCTATGAATGTTCATGTGTCCACCTAACGCTTGTGCATTGGAGAAACCTCGTTTACAAAAGCTACACCTATAAAACTTAACTTGGCTTAGGCCTAATTCGTCCGATTTCCATGTTATTTGGTACTTGTCGAAATTGGAAGAATTAAGATCACTTTCCATAGCATTAAATTGCCAGAGTTTAAGGAGAAAGAAGAGGAGGGATTTTTGAGAAATAGAGAGGGATAGTCAAAGGTCAAATTGTCGTGGGGGTGTTTTAATTGACAAGAACTAGAGCAAGCATGCTTGATTTCGTATTTAACATGATAAAATATTTTGACCTTACTTCCATGTTGTAATACGCAATCAAGTTTCTCTAATCAAGATCACTATAGTGTCCTTTTCAAGAAAAAAAAATATATCCTTGTATTTGAAAGGTTGGATTTTAGATTTTGAATAACGACTCTCAATTCCAAATTGTTGAAAGAAATTTTCCTAATCTCGCAAAGCGATGTCTTAACATAGGAAAATTTTTTTTTTATAAATTTTGCCGCTCGTTGAAAACATAATTAAGTGATAAAAAGTGAGTTATTTCGATGTTATTTATGTTTTTAATGAATTTGGGTTATACAATTCAACATAGTACATGCATTCTAAGTCTTGCCGCCACCAATTTATTTACTATGTTCTCTATCTTGTTAAACTTTTCTTTATTCAAAACCGCAGAATTTCGAACCCGTAAACTTTATAATTTCTAAACCCANTCAAGCCATAAACTTTCAAACCAACAACCTTCCGAACCCACAAATTTTATAAACTTTTGAACCGCTAAACATTCAAAACCGCAGAATTTCGAACCCGTAAACTTTATAATTTCTAAACCCGTAAACTTCCAAACACATAAACCCTGTAAACTGATAAATTAAAAAACTAAAACTGAAAAATATATTTAAAAAATATTTTTTCGGAAGAAGGGTGTCACGACCCTAGTTCGCCCTCCGTGAACTGTCGTGACGACACCTAGTCTCTACGACTAGGTAAGCCTAACAAATGCAAAACATAAACGAAACTTGCGGAAGAAATAATCAAAAAAGCCAAAAATATCCGAAGGAAACAATATTTAAAATGTCGCTCGGCATATACAACACAACTTCTCAGAATCTAATACACTATCCCAAAATTCGGAAACTCACAGAACCACAAGCCTTTGGATATCTAACATGTCTAACTTCAGAATATCTAACAAGGAAAAGAAATACAGAAGGGAATGTTTAAAAGCTAGAATAGAAAGGGACTCCTCGGTCTGCGGACTGGGTAGATGTAACTCGAAGTCTCTAGAGCAGTCGCCTCGCCTCACGGGTGGTAGGACTGAGTCGACGTACCTGGATCTGCACATGAAAAATATGCGCAAAAATAACATGAGTACACCACAGCGGTACTCAGTAAGTGTCAAGTCTAAACTTCCAAACAAAAGCCGTTTGATAATAAGCTTAATTATGTAGAGAGTTTTGTACAAAAGGAAGTTGTTGCATTACTAGACAACGTAACGTCTAATAAGACAACAAGAAGCATGGGTACTTGGGATTTGATTAAACTAAGTATATTTGAATTAGTAGATAATATACATTCCTGCACGCTTGGAGACAAAGTCAACACAATACTTTAGGTAAAAATTGTGAACTCTTTCATTACTTGTTCTTCTTGTTTTTTCCTTTCTTTAAGCAACAGTGGAAGTTGCTCTGCAGACACGAACTTATAAACAAATTAACATTCTTCACCAGAAGAAAATTTAAATGCTAGGTCGATTCATTATCGTAACGCACCTTTTTGGCTGTTTGTGCCGCTGCCTAGTTTTTTAAAGTAGTAAGAGCATTTTCTTATATCACTTATTTTATTTTATTTAATTAATATAAGAGGTTTAAGATAAGAGTGAGTTGCTCTAGTGGTGGGCACCCTCCACTTCCAACCAGTGGCAGAGTCAGAATTTTTATTGAGTGTCAAAATATAAATAATTAGATACATCGAAAAATCAAGGGGAGTCAACATATAGTAAATATACATAAAATAAAAAATTTTATCTAGTAATATAGTGTAATTTTCTGGCGAAGAGGTGTCGCTTGATACCCCTTGGTTCAATGTGGCTCCGTCATTGCTTCCAACCAAGAGGTTGTGAGTTCGAGTCACCTCAAGAGCAAGGTGAGGAGTTCTTGGAGGGAGGGATGCCGAGGGTCTATCGGAAACAGCCTATTTACCCCAGGGTAGGGGTAAGGTTTGCGTACACACTACCCTCCTCAGGCCCCACTTGTGTTGTTGTTGTTGTTAAGATAAGAGCCTTCCCAACTTGTTTAGGATTGAGATATAATTATTGTCTTTGTCTCAATTAGGTTTCTTTATATAGTTTGATTTAAAAAAACTAGGGTGCTTTTTCTTTTTAAGAAATAGAACGTTATTTAGAGTAAAAAGATGGATAATAAACTAATATAAGATATTAAGAAAGGCAATGAAGAAGTTTCTAGGAGAGAAATTTGACGAATTTTGAAACAGTAAAAATACAAAGCATGGCAGTTGTTTTTAGATTAAGCTTGTGATTTTCTTCGATAATGATGGTCAACTAAAAAGATAGGATTTAATTGCTATACACTGACAATGTAAATTTTTATACTACCATGTTATAAATTATGACAATTACAAGCACCTATTAAGTACTTTAAAATAAAGCATGTAACCTATTATAATCAATGTAGCTGATATAGAAATACAGGGGTGTATTCTGAAATATTTGAAGTAGCCAACCTTCCTTCTGTGGCTTGCTATACCGTGGCATGAAATGATATTAAAGTTTTTTTAGTATAGATTAGGATAATCTAGAAATAAAAGTGACGTGAGAAACAACTATTTACATTACATATGATCCTATGTGATAATCGCAAAAGTTACTCAACATATGATTGATGTATTTTTTCCGCTGATATTACTTAATTTAGAGCTGATTTAACCTGGTCTGATGGTCAGATTCAATATAAAGTGACACGATATACCTTCTAACTTTAAGACTGGACAAAATGTCTTTCTTTCCTATGCATTTAGACAAAAAAAAAAAACGAGGTTAAAATGTTTATCATTGAATTTTAAATACCAAATAGTTAAGTAAAAAATGAATAGACTAATCTTAGATAGAAGTGTAATGTATTAATTGGAGTGGAGGTACTGTTTACCTTCAAAATCGGATAGCAATTGAATTTGTAAGTGGTTTTAAGGATATGCGGATTAACTTGACACAAAGCGATAAATTAAGTTGCAGTTGAAATAAACAATGAATGATAAAGTAAATTCAAACCACACAAATTCAACATTTACGGTCTTGGGAGCTCACTCACACTCGAACTGGATGCACTTCGATCGGTATCAAGAGACAGAAGAATAAGAGCTTAAAGAGAGAAATAATAATATATTACTTTGGAATGTGTGCTACAATGTGCTAAATGAATTATGAGACACCCTTTATATAGTAGAAGAGTCATACTTTAGGTACGATTCTATAAAAGGTAAAAAAATCACTTGATTTGCTGATTACCGGTTCCTTATTGATAAGTGTTGAGATTCCCGCCGTAATATCCGACCGACCACGGATATTTCGGTCTTCTGTTGGCTATGTTAACAATGTTGCTTCGAGCTCGTTCAGGGCTAGGATCGATTCCGGGATCGCGGCCTTGGTATTCTCGAAGGTAGGCGTTCTAACCCAGGATTTGTCACGGCCCAAAAATCCCTCTGAAGAAGTTGTGATGAAACCTAGTTTCTTAAACTAGGTAAGCCTAACATTAACAGAAATCACAATACTATTCACTAGCTTCACATTAGATAACTCTGAATAATTACAATTTCCAAAATCGGTAGTACAAGTATTTATACATATTGAATACATCACTGTTCCAAAACAAAAAGAAACAATAGAAATAAATACAACAAAAGGTGACTCTGAGGCCTGCGATCGCAGCAACAGGTTTAGATGAGTCTCCACAGCGATGATCCGCACAACTACTAACGACAAAATACCTGGATCTGTACAAAAATGTACAGAAATATAGTATGACTGCACCACAGCGGTGCCCAGTAAGTATCAAGACTAACCTCGGTGGAGTAGTGACGAGGAACAGTCAAAACACCTACTGGTCTAATAAATTGAACAGAATATGACAATACATTAACAGGATAAGGATAACAGAGTAATGCCAATAGCAGGGAGAAATCAAATTACAACAATGGAGATAATAATGGAAAACATGAATGTTAACGAAAATAACCAGAAAATTACAGACCAACACAGTTGGGATACAGATCAGTAAAATATTATCAATTAGAGAAAACAATATTAACTCAACCAATCGCATCATTTCTAATACACAGAATTCCAACCATCCCGGTACTCGGTACCTCACCACAAAATCATAACTTTCAAACCTTTAACACACATGGCACCTTGTGCCCACATATTTCCTTTTCACTTTGCACAATAAAACCACGTGCTACTCAGTACATAATGCCCGTAACTAACGCAAATTAAGATGTTCAAGGAGTCTCATTTATATAATATAAAGTAAATTACAGTTTCTAAACCAAATAGGAAAATCAATGAGAAAAGATGAAGTTATTTTAGAAATCATTTGAGTGAAGAAAATAACATTTTCAAATAAAAATACAACATTGAATAAGCTATTTCCTTTAATATAGGATTTATTAAATTAAAACTTAATAGAAATTCCTTTTTAAGTAAAATACAATCTCATATGGGTTAAGGAAATTTAATTGAGAAACCAATTGAAATAGAATATAACAATTATTAGATTTTGTACTATTGAGATTTATATATGGCGAGTTCTAATTTAAAAGTCATACAAGAGTAAATTTACCTTGAAAATTAATCCACCAGAATGACAGTATCTGGGGCAGAACTCAAGAAATGACGGCAAGTCAATAAATCAATGTCAATAACTCGATCCTCAAAACTCAGCGAAACCAGAAACACAAATTATCAAAGTCTTGTACGAATAAACTAAAGTCAATATAGTAAAACAGAGGATACCAAAATATAAGATATGTATATTCACCCTTATTACTCCTTATCAATCCACCCTTATTCCTCTTGTTGCGGCGGGCAACCCGATCCCACCAGACAATATTAATATCATAATAATAAATATAATGTTGTGCGACGCGCAACTGGTCCCACCAATCTACCCTTATTACTCCTCAATATATCACCCTTATTCCTCCTGTTGTGGCGTGCAACCCGATCCCACCAATCTACCCTTATTACTCATGTTGCGGCGTGCAACCCGATCCCATCAGACAATCACATTTCACCCTTATTCCTCCTTAATATATCACCCTTATTCCTCTTGTTGCGGCGTGCAACCCGATCCCATCAGACAATCACATTTCACCCTTATTCCTCCTTAATATATCACCCTTATTCCTCTTGTTGCGGCGTGCAACCCGATCCCATCAGACAATCACATTTCACCCTTATTCCTCCTTAATATATCACCCTTATTCCTCTTGTTGCGGCGTGCAACCCGATCCCATCAGACAATCACATTTCACCCTTATTCCTCCTTAATATATCACCCTTATTCCTCTTGTTGCGGCGTGCAACCCGATCCCATCAGACAATCACATTTCACCCTTATTCCTCCTTAATATATCACCCTTATTCCTCTTGTTGCGGCGTGCAACCCGATCCCACCAGACATAGTTTAAATCAACAACAACAATTCAACAACTCAAGTACATGAATTTCCACCACCAAGAGTATGAGTACATGGCAACAAGAGAATCACAAAAAATCAAGGAGTACAACAACCTTTACATAAACAACAAGACAAATAAGGCACATGTTAACTACACAGACAACCTCAACGATTTGGATAGGTAGAACATATGCACAAAGTCGTAGAGGAACTCACAATTAAGAAGTATCAAAACAATAAGGAGGGCAACCACTTCAGTTAAGACAAATAAGAACCATATAACAGGTAAGAGGTAAAGAAGTGCTAATAACGTCGTACATAGCATGCTGAGGTGAAACTATCAAATAAAAAACTGAATCATATCAGAACAACTTCCCACTTAGTGAACATAAGGACCTAAAAACTGTCACGACCCTAAATCCGAACCCGGTCGTGATGGTGCCTCTCGTAAAGATAAGGTCAGCCGGCACTTTCCATTTCAGTTTTAAGAAATCAAACCATAAGAATTTAAGTCTAAAACATGATAAATAATCCAAATGTAAGCAGTTAACAGAACAATTGTGGAAAATAAACCGAACACAGTCCGATACTGGGGTGTCACTAGTTATGAGCAACTACCAAATCCGGATAAATACAAGAAAGGTCTACAAGCTTCTAGGGATGGGCATATATCAGTTCGAACCTAAAAAACCGACCGAACCAATTTTTTTTTTAAATTTCGGTTTCGGTTATTCGGTTTTTTCGTTCGGTTTCAATTTAAAATTTTTAAAATTCAATTTTTCGGTTCGGTCGTCGATTATTGATTTTTTTTTCGGTTAACCGAAAAATCGAATTATTAGTACATGGATTCTTTAAACTATATATTCCATACTTATATAGGCTAAGGCCCAATTTTAAGTTCCATAAAAATCAGCCCATCCCAAACTCAATTGCCCAAAATCCAAATACGCTACCCACACCTACTCATCAGCTCCTTTCCTTTTCCCATTCTTAATCTTTACCCAAAGTAGGCTAGGGCTTTTCTTTCTCCCTTCTCTTCTCAGTTCTCTCTATCGGCAGTTCCTCCCCCCAAATACGCTAGGGCTTCCATTGATACACTAGTGGTTTTCCCAAATACGCTAGGGATCTGTCATTGTCGTCAAATTTCTTGTGCCGGTAAGCTTAACTTTTGTTATATTTCTCTCATTTCTTCTTTTTTTTTTGTTCTCTTTCATCTACTCCTCGTCGATCTTCTCTTCTTTCTCTCATTTCAGTAATTTTTTTCTTTTTTTTCCTGCTAAAAGTTAGTATTTAAAGACTTAAAGGTGCATGCAGCATGTATATTATTGAAAGAAGTCTTGACTCTTGAACTTGATGTCCATTTTCTTGCAATATTTGTTGGTTTCAGTGTTGTTGAGAGGTTCTAACTTGTTATTAAAACAAAAAAAGCTCGCTGCTCAGTATTTTATTGTTATGCTTGTATTTGTTTTTGTAGATGGAAGAAAATGGAAGTAGGGTAAGCGAAGCCTGCGAAGGTGGGGGTTCAAATGATAGCATACCTAATACTGAAGGTCTCAGTCCAGACAGTCCTGATAAAGCTCCAAAGAAAAGGAAAGCGATGCAACCTATATCTGATGCTTGGAAACATTTTGAGAAGTATGATGATCCTAGTGGAGCTAAAAGAGCAAAATGTAAGTACTGTCAAAAAAACTTATGATGCTGCTACGAAAGGTAATGGTGCTACATCAATGAACAATTATCTCGCTAAGTATCCCAAAATGGCCCGTATCATGGAAAATAGTCAAACACAAATCAGTTTTCTGCCAGTTTCAAATGGGGAAAATGAAGGGGTGCTTACCACTTGGAAATATGATCAAACACTTAGTAGGAGAGCTTTAGCTCAAATGATAATTTTGGATGAACTGCCATTTAGTTTTGTTGAAAAGTAAGGATTTAAGAAGTTTATGGGAGTCACAATGCCTTAAATTCAAATTCCTTCTCGTAGAACATTGACAAGAGATTGTTATGAACTTTATTGTGAACAAAGACAAAGTTTGAAGAAACCCTTCAATGAAGCACGTCCTAAAATCTGTCTTACAACAGATACTTGGAATTTTATACAAAGAATAAACTATATGTGTCTTACTGCTCACTTTATTGACAGAGATTAGAAATTGTATAAAAAGATAATAAACTTTTTTCCTATATCTAGTCATAAGAGTGATAATATGGCATCGGTAATTACTAATTGCTTGCTTGATTGGGGGTTAGAAAATGTATTTACTATAATGGTAGATAATGCTAGCTCCAATGATGTCACAGTAAGAGAAGTGTCCAAACAATTGACTACTTGGGGAACTAATATAATGAATGGTAAACACCTGCATGTTAGATGTATGACTCACATACTTAATCTCATTGTACAAGATGGGTTGAAAGAAATTGGTGTTTCTATCAAGAGAGTTAGACAAGTTGTGAGATACATTAGACAATATCCCGCTAAGATTAGAAAGTTTAAAGAATGTTGTGAATCTCAAAAGTTAACTTCCAAGAGATCATTATGCTTAGATATTTCTACTCGATGGAACTCTACATACATGATGTTAGACACAACAAAACAATTTGAGCTTGCCTTTGACAATATAGTTTCTTTGATATTGGATTGTTGTATCATCTTCGTACCTATGTATGTGAAGATGGAACTAGTGCATGTGATCTCACAAGTGCTGACTGGGATAATGTGAGAAAAATGGTAAACTTTCTTGAAGCTTTTTATTTGCTTACTTTGAGGGTCTCTGGTTCTATTTATGTCACTTCCAAGGTGCATTTTGTTGAAATTTGTGAGCTTGATCTTATTTTGAAAGAGTGGATGGAACATGAAGATACTAGTTTCAAAGAAATGGCAAAAAAATGAAAGAAAAATTTGCCAAGTATTGGGGTGAACCTGAAAAAATGAACAAGATGATCTTTATTGCATTAATTTTGGATCCCCGTAACAAGCTTGAGTATGTTCCTTTTGCAATTGTGAGGATGTTGGGAGAAAAAGAAGGGAAAAAATTGATTGTAGAGGTGAAAAATTATATGGATTCTTTGTTTGATTATTATGTAAAACAAATTCAGAAGGAACATCATCTGTTTCATCTGGAAACACAACAACTACTGTCAGTGGTTATAATGAAGCAAAATTGGAATTTGAGAAACATAAGGAAGTGACAGGAGGTTTAGGTTCTAAATCAGAGTTAGAAAGATATCTTGCTGAAGATCTTGAGCCTGAAACAAATTACTTTAAAATCTTAAAGTTGTGGAAAATCAATGAGCCTAGATTTCCCATTCTTGCGGAGATGGATCGTGATCTGTTAGCCATTACTACTTCAAGTGTTGCATCTAAATGTGCATTCAGTACGAGAGGTCGCATTCTTGACCCATTCAGGAGTTCGTTGACTCCTAAACTGGTCCAATCTCTTATTTGTCTTCAAGATTGGCTTTGAAGTGAACCTATTCCTATTAAAGTTGGGGAAGACTTGGAGTATCTAGAACAACTAGAACTTGGTAATTATTTTGTGTTTTGCCTTTATTATTTTACAAATAGTTTACTTAACACTGATGCATGACAAAGTTTTCTTCAATATTTTCCTTAGATTTGGCTAATAGTGCAAAAGATTCAACTATTATTGACATATAGTTGCAACATGTACCATGTGTGGTAAGTTGATAGCCTTCTGTATATTTGAAGATATAACATTAATATATTTTATTATAAATCAATTGCGTTTTTGACTTATAATTATGTCTTTTGTTGCAAAGGTTTGATCATGGTGCCTAAATGGAAGTGATGCTGCAGTAAATAGACTTCACTTGTTTCATGCTACTTAATGTAATTATTTCTCTGGTTTTGAGACTTCAGCAGCATGAAAACTTTCTAACTTTTGGATTATTCTTTTGGTTATGTAATATGCTTGTACTAAACAATGGCAAAGTAGCATAGATTCTAAATTTTTGTTCTCTCATGGCTGTAAACAGTGGCAGCAAAGCGGCAAAGCAGCATAGCTCTTTTTGTTTTTTGGTTATGTAATGTAGTGCTCTTTAGTTTGTAACTACTCCCTACTCCCTAGTTTATATTTGTTTTGTATGATTGTGGGATCTTGTATGGACCAAGTAGAGGTGTAATTAACAACATCCTTTGGTTATGTTTGTTAGCAGTATCAATTGCAAGGTCTCTTTTTATTAGGATGATTTGAGTAACATGTAACTCATACCAGATTTTTATTACCAGATTTGAGTAACAAGGAACTCATACCAAATTGAGAAATCAATGTTTAAATTGATGCAATAAATTGTTCCTTTTTCGGTCATCTCATTCCCCGTTCAAAGAATCCAGGCTTAGACTAAACTTTGTAAAATTGGGCCTAGTGTAGTAGTGTTTGTTATATATGGTCTTAGCCTATATATAGTTTATGATTATGTAAATAAAAGAACAAATTTATGACTTATCACATTCAAAAAGTCCAAAATTTTGGAAAAACCCAACAAATTAGCCAATTATTATGCAAAAGAAGCCCAGCCCAATATGATAATGTTCAAACCAAAAATCGACCCAAAATAAACCGAACTAAAATAAAAAAATCGAACTGAACTGAACTTATTTCAGTTCGGTTTCTGTTACTATATTTACAAAACCGAAAACCAAATAACCGAACCGAATTTCTTCAAACCTAAACGAACCGACTGAACGCCCACCATTAGAAGCTACTATAGAGTCGCTAATCAGAGAAAGAAAATGAGATAAAGGGGGAGAAACAAGGGGCTGTGGACGCTAAACAGCTACCTCGTGAACTCCGAAATCTGCTGGGAGCTCTCAACCCTCGCAAGCAGGATCAGCAATGCCTGAATCTGCACACGGGATGCAGGGAGTAAAGGGACTACTCCAACTCAGTGAGTAAAAATCATAAATAAACGACAGAGATATGAAAGCACATAAGGCACATTACAGGCTATAATGAAGCAGTAAAACTAGTAAAAATAGTGAATCAGTAAAGATATGTAAAATCATTTAAGTTCAGTTTAATCTTCATTAAATGCTTTTTCAACAATTAAACAGGTAAATGACAGACAATAAGAAAGAAAAACACGTAAAGGTTCGCCCTTCGATCGCAATATCAACAAATTCGCCCCTCGGGCAATATCTTAGAACAATACCAGCTCCTCGGGCTATAACTCACATCACAATGGGTATCTGCGCTCAATGAGGGGTGTGCAGACTCCTGGAGGGGCCCCTTACGGCCCAAGCGCAATATCAAGCCATCTCGTGGCATCATCACTAGGCTCTTGGCCTCATATCAACAAGTCACCTCGTGGCATACATATCTCAAGCCCTCGGCCTCAAAATCATAACCAAATATTTCCTCACAACATAGGCCCTCGGCCTTACTCAGTCAAAATCCTCACAAGCCACTCGGGCAATAGTAAAACATGGTTTTCAGCCCCAAATATCATTTAGAAGATCATTTAAGTGTTAAAACGGAGTAAGCATGGCTGAGTTATGAAAATAGTGGAATATAGCATGACTAAGTTCAAGTATAAAGTCAAAACAATGAGAAAATATCAATAAAAATCCTCTAAGGGTTCAAATAGTTGGCATGAGGCCCAAATATGGCATTCAACCCAAAACATGATGTACACAAATAGATTTTAGTCAAATACGCGGTGAATAGTCATTCGGGACGGACTAAGTCACAATCCCCAATAGTGCACGACACCACGCTCATCATCAAGTGTGTACGTCACCTTAATATAGCATAACGATGTGCAAATCTGGGGTTTCATACCCTCAGGACAATATTTATAATCATTACTCACATCTTCCCGATCCAAATCTCTATCTCGCGACACCTTTTCCCCTCGAATCGGCCTCCACTCACGTCGAATCTAACCAAAATCAGGATCACGGCATCAAAATATGCAAAAGGAACGAAGCCCAAGCGAAAATAATCAATTTACAACCTAAGTCCCGAAATTACCAAAACCTGAACCGGGGCCCACGTCTCAAAATTTGATAAAATTCACATCAATGGATTACTTGTCTCCCTACGAGTTCATACATTCAAAAGTACCAAAATCCGACCACAATAGGTGCCTCAAATCCTCACGTCTAGGTCTCTAATACCAAGCCCTAATTTTTCCCAATTTTAACCCTTAAATTCCATTAATTATAGCTCTAATCCGTGAAATAATACCATAGGGACGAGTTTTAGGTCAAAAATCCTTACCTCAATGAGGTCTCCTTGAATTCTCTCTTCAAAATTGCCCAAAGCTCTAGAAATCGCGTTTAAAAATGGTGAAACCCTCTGAAAATCGCGAAGGAAGAAATATATACATTCTGACCCAGGCATTTTCGCACATGCGGTCAATCCACCGCATCTGTGTGGTATCGCTTTTGCGGTCCAAGAGCCACTTCTGAGGTTTTTCACTTATTCTCAACTTTCCGCACCTGCGCCATCGCAGGTGTGGTTACCCAACCGCTTCTGTGGTCACGACCTACCTCACCTTCTTCCGTTTTTGCGGCCTTCTACCTCGCATCTGCAGCATTGCACCTGCGGTCCCCAAACTGCAGGTGCGGAAATAAAAGAAGCAGAAAATCTGCAGCTTACCAAAATTCCAAACTTCTCCGTCAACCATCCGAAATCATCCCGAGGCCCCTGAGACCTCAACCAAAAGTACAAACATATCCCATAACCTTATTCAAACTTATACCAATCTTCAAAACACCTCAAACAACATCGAATCAACCAAAAGACATCGGATTCAAGCCTAAGTTTCCAAATTCTTTCGAAGTACGCTTTTGATCAAAAGCCCAACCAAACCACGTCCAAATGACCTGAAATTTTGCACACACATCCCAAATGACACAATGGAACTACTGCAACTCTCAGAATTCCATTTCGTATCAAAATCTCACATATCAATCGGAAAACCCAAAAATCCAATTTCGCCAATTCAAGCCTAAATGTACTCCGGACCTCCAACACACATTCCAATCACGCTCCTAAGTCCCAAATCACCTCCCAAAGCTATCCGAATCATCGGAACTCACATCCGAACCCTCTAACACATAAGTCAACATCCGATTGACTTTTCCAACTTAAGCTTCCTCAAAAGAGACTAAGGTCTCAAACCTTACCAAATCCTTTCCGAGCCAACCAACCCAATCATATATACAACCGATAGACAAAGTAATAAGAAGCAGAAATGGGAGAAACGGAGCGGTAATTCATGAGACCACTGGCCAGGTCGTCACATCCTTCCTAACTTAAACAAACATTCGTCCTCGAACGAGGTAAGAAACATACCTGAAGCCTCAAACAGGTGAGGATATCTGCTCCGCATCTCTTGCTCGGTCTCCCAGGTAGCCTCCTCCATGGGCCAACCTCTCCACTGCACCTTTACTGAAGCTATACCCTTTGACCTCAACTTTCGAACCTAACGACCCAAAATAGCTACTAGCTCCACATCATAAGTCAAATCACCATCCAACTGAACCGTGCTGAAATCCAAAACATGAGACGGATCCCCAACATACTTCTGGAGCATAGAAACATGGAATACCGCATGCACACTCGACAAGCTGGGTGGAAAACCAAGCTCATAAGCCACCTCCCCAATCCTCCGAAGCACCTCAAAAGGCGCAATGAACCGAGGACTCAATTTACCCTTCTTTCCAAACCTCATAACACCCTTCATGGGCGAAACCTTCAACAGAACCTTCTCGCCAACCATGTAGGACACATCTCGAACCTTCCTGTCAGCATAACTCTTTTGCCTCGACCGCACTGTACGAAGCCTCTCCTGAATTACCTTCACCTTTTCTAAAGCATCTTGAACCAAGTCTGTCCCCAATAGCCTAGCCTCACCGGGATCAAACCAACCAACTGGAGATCTACACCGCCTCCCATACAAAGCTTCATATGGAGCTATCTGGATACTCGACTGGTAGCTGTTGTTATAAGAAAAATCCACAAGCGGTAAAAACTGATCCCATGACCCTCCGAAATCAATGACACAAGCACACAACATGTCCCCAATATCTGAATAGTGCGCTCGGACTGCCCGTCCATCTGAGGGTGAAAAGTTGTGCTCAATTCAACTTGAGTATCCAACTCTCGCTCCACAGACCTCCAAAACTGCGAAGTAAACTGAGTACCTCTATCTGAAATGATGGAAACTGGGATGCCATGCAAAGGAACAATCTCTCGGATATAGATCTCTGCCAACCGCTCTAAAGAATAGGTAGTACACACAGGAATAAAGTGCGCAGACTTGGTCAGCCGATCCACAATCACCCAAATAGCATTGAACTTCTTCAAAGTCTATAGTGATCCTCTCCCACTTCCACTCTAGAATATCCATTTGCTGAAGCAAGCCACCTTGTCTTTGATGCTCATATTTCACCTGCTGATAATTGAGACACCGAGCTACAAATCCTATAATGTATTTCTTCATTCTCCTCCACCAATAATGTTGCCTCAAATCCTGATACATCTTCATGAAACCCGGATGAATGGAATACCGCAAGCTATGGGCCTCCTCCAAAATCAACTCCCGAAGCCCATCCACATTGGGCACACATATCCGGCCCTACATCCTCAACACCCCATCATCACCAATGGTCACATCTCTGGCATCATCATGCTGAACTCTGCCCTTAAGGACAAGCAAATGTGGATCATCATACTGGCGCTCTCTGATGCAATCATATAAGGAAGACCGAGAAAATACATAAGCCAATACCCGACTGGGCTCCGAAATATCTAACCTCACAAACCAATTGGCCAAGGCTTGAACATCAACTGCAAGGGGTCTCTCCCCAACTGGAATATATGCCAAACTCCCCATACTCACCGCCTTTCGGCTCAAAGCATCGGCCACCATATT